TTAGGGTTTAGGGGGTTTAAGATTTAGGGTTTGCTGTGATATGGCGCGGAAGCATAGATGGTCATAGATTCGCTTCGAGTGTGTCGTGCTTTGCAACACCCCGCTATGGTCCGAATGCGGCTGGCCATCAAAACATTCACCCACCCCACACCGTCCCAAGCTGTGAAACCATCCAAACGTATTCTTATATAAATTGGCGAACCCTCGGAGGGCCGCAAACAAAGATGTGCGGGTTCATGCTTTCCGAAATTGGGACGCAAGGATGCCCTTTTCGGAGAGTAAACTGGCACACAAACGATGCACTCTCGCGGAATAAGCTGGGACATAAAAGATGCACTTTCCAAGTTTTAGTCAGGCCCAATAGGTTCCATTTCTTCATGAAATACGGGCCCATAGGACGCGTATAGATCATGAAAAATGGGAAGCATGTAGCCCTGATCAGAGCCACAAATTGGACCGGTGATGAGGGTTTAGTTCAAGGTCTAGGGTCTACATCCAGGGTCTAAGGCCTAGAAGTTAGAATTTGCAATTTCGCGTTCAGGGTCCTTCTAAAAACATCATACATCCTTCCAATGTTGTTGACTATGACTATGACTTAGCAAGCCCACATCCAGCTCAATACCCTTAACCCCAAACCTTGAAACCCAGACACTGTTAAGGTTGAGGGCTTAGGCTCAACCCCACACCCTAAACGCTTTCCAACCCCAAACCCTGAAACTTTTAACAAGGACCGAATCCTTCTCCCTCCGCCGTTTCGATGCCTACCTCCTCGTAGTCCTGCCGTGCAAATATGGCTGAAAGTAGCTTTGGCGTTTTTGCTGGATGGCTACTTGGGGTTCGGGTGTCGGGTTAAAGGTTTAGCTTGAAAAAAGTTTAGGATTTATTGCTTGAAGGCTTAGGGTCTAAAGCTAAGCTTAGGCTTCAGTGCGAAGCCTAGGTGTGCGGTTGGCGAGTCTAGAGGGGGGAAGTGTTCAGCGTGATTTAGAAGGGCATTCTTCAACCCATCCAACTTTTCCCAGGGGTTGAGGGTAAAGGGTTTAGGATCCAGGGGAACGCCTCTTGCCCACAAACTCCAGAGCATTGGCGTGCTGCTCACTTTTCAGAAACAAGGCCAAATTTGGAGCTAGCAGTGTGGTCAAGCAAAGGGCTCTGTATACTATCATATGCATATTATCCAACTGATAATGAGGGGGGGCAGTACCCAACCTAAACCCTAAACCCTAAACCTTCAACCCTAAACCCTAAACCCTAAACCTTCAACCCTAAGCCCTAAACCCTAAGCCCCAAGCCTTCAATCCTAAACCCTAAACACCCAGGTGCTTCCTTCTCCAGGGCTGCCAGGTCCTCTCGCGCCTCTGAGAACTCGCCCTCCTCCATGCCTTCAAGGAACGGGCCCCTTGTATGGGCCCAGTTTAGGGTTTAGGGTTTAGGGCCGTAACCCTGAGATCCTCATATACCTACTAAAACCCCTATGTGTATAGTCCCCCTTAAGTAGATAGAATACCTGCTTGTAATTTGGGTTTATCCCGGCCTGGCTTGGCATTTTACACTTAGGCCTTAGGGCTTTGGATTTAGGGTTTGGGCAATATTCTAGGGCTTAGCGTTTAGGGATTACAGAAATGCGGCATAGGAATCCCGCAAAATGAAAACACGCTTTTAGGCGAGTGCCCATCTAGGGATGTGATTTCCTTCGGAATACTTATGGCGAAGCTCCATTCGAGAAATATGCCTTGAGACATACCCCTTAACCCTAAAGCCTAAACCCCAAACCATACGTAAGGGGTGCGCAAAACCATCCAGTAAAGTTGGCAAAGGAGGAAGTCTTGGAAACACCCGTGCGGGAGGTTCAGGGTTTTGGGTTTAGGATGGTGTTGGAGGATTACCCCCGTGGTGAAAAATCAAATGGAAAAAAGAACGGAAACAGGCTGCATATAGGGGTTCATCGGAATTTAGGGTTTCTGAAAGTTGGGGACCCTTTCTGGAAAAGCCCCTGTAATAATTCATGGTCAATAATCTTATATTGGGGTCTGTACTTGGAGTCGAAAACTTATGGAAACCCCATATGTCCCGAAAGAATGTGAAGCAGCAGAAAGCTACACATCCGACGAAGCAGACAATTGTCCGTGTCAAAGGAAGCATGTTTATAGAGGTTTAGGGTTCGGGGTCCAGACATCCGGAAACGTCACATTCGAACATCAAGGAAATGCACTGGAATGGGGATGTGGGCTTGGAACAGACAACAGAAAGTATTCTCGTGGGACGACTATGTCAACAGTACCGCGAGGTCAAAATGCCTCTCCGAGTTCTTGACAACGGCCGCACCAGACTGACAAACCCCTTCCAAAGGAAGACAGGATCCCCTGATTGTACAGAAGCCCTCACCATCCAGGGAACCTCCCTGGTCTAAGGTTTAGGGCTCAACGTCTAGGATTTAGGGTTTAGGCAGCATTTATTGATCTGGTTCCTTCATTCATGTACTGAAGAGGCCTTGAAACTTAGAAAAAATGTTTTGGTTCATGATATACTGTAACCTTACCCGGATCGCAGCAGATTCTGGTGTCCATTTCGTTGTGCGTTTTCTTTGCCAGCTGAATCTGCAGTATTGTGGATTCCGTTTCCTCCTCCGTTGAAATATCTCCTTAATCAGTTCCAATATGTCCTTCATCAATGATTAGGCGCCCCGTACCCTCATCAAATCGCAGGCCTTCTCCAACATAGTGGTGGACAAAGGCCCGCTTGGAGTACATGAGATCGAACTTGTGGTCGATGCGGGAGAAGACTTCGGCAATGGCCGTGCTGTTCGAAATCCTGAGCGGCGTGCGGATACATCGGATACGGGCTTTGACGTGACTCCAGCGATCTACAAGGTACAGCTTACTGGTCCCGACATGTGGGCCGAAAAAGGGACCCCTGGGGGCCAACCAATCTAATGAAATACATATTATCTGTCAGCACGCGCTGCCCACTCTGCCAAGGGTCATGCAGCAGGCACGCATGACCTTGGCCAGGTCACCGCCGGGCACCACGGTCGGTGGCTGGTAATTGATGCCGCACTTGAAGCCGGTGGGGCACCAGTCCACGAACTGGATGGTGCGCTTGGTCTTGATGGTGGCGACAGCGGCGTTCACATCCTTGGGCACGACATCGCCGCCTCAGAATCAGGCAGTCACTTGGTATAAGTTATAAGGGCTAAACAAGAACAAGCGACATTCCAACGGGTGTTGCTGACACTGCTGGGCGCCCAGCGGTACATCATGCAGCAGGCCATGTACTTGCCTAGGCTGCTCGTGGGACGCACATTACACGCACAAAACTGGCGCTTTCATGCTGGAATGTCTTCAGCCTTCTTTTGAACAACAA